TTCACCTATAGTTATATTGGTTTTTTCTGCTACTGCTAGTGGTCTCAGCCTACACAGCCACACACTTTTATGCCCATGATCCATAAAATTACCCCAAGTCTAGGGCATGGTGTCCACCAATCTTGTGATGGCTATTTCTTTCAATCAGTAATTTAGTGATTTATTGTAAGTTGATCACGAATTTTATTGCATTGGTAAAGAAGTTTTATGTTGCTCTAAGTATCACGTGTTCGAGTCATGAATACAATAGCAGATTAATCTCTAAAATCACGATTGTATGAATTATCCCTTATGAGTACATTAATTCAAGTATAAATGGTCTGTCTTTAATCAAATCAAAAAAATAATTAATCGAGGTGTGCGTAAACTGATTCGGACATACTTGACTGTTGAAAAAAGAAAAAGAAAAGTCTTTTCCTTTCTCTTTCAAAAACAAAAAGCCTTTAAAGTTTTAATCTTTGTTTTCTACCGTTCAAAAATATCCAATGGTTGTATTGCCGTAGCATTTATGCAGGAGACTTATAATCCCCATGAAATTAAAGAACTAGGGGCTCACCATTAATTTGAGTGCCCCACCAACCCCATACTTGTTTCAAAATTCCAACTGCATTAATTTTATTAAGAGTATAAGTAGTATCGAAAATATTATATCCCTATTATTATATCAACAAATTAGATTAATTTTTANCAAAATTCCAACTGCATTAATTTTATTAAGAGTATAAGTAGTATCGAAAATATTATACCCCTATTATTATATCAATAAATTAGATTAATTTTTTNATTCCAACTGCATTAATTTTATTAAGAGTATAAGTAGTATCGAAAATATTATACCCCTATTATTATATCAACAAATTAGATTAATTTTTAAAATTTCAATAATTTTATTTAACTTCAAGTAGATGCGGTTTTTTATTCTCAAAAAAAAAAAAAAAACAGAGGTTACTAAAGTCAATGCAGACGACAAAAAATCTCAAAAGAAAAAGAAGTCCGTTGGCCCTTTGTTTTGTCCCATGGAAGATCGATCTGTTTGTAAACATGAACATTCGTCTCCTAATATATGAACCTTTCTTAATTTGTCAAATACAAATTAATATCAATCCTTCAAGATATGATCAGTTGGCAACCACCACAAGTTTTAAATTCCTAGAAACTCTTCCCCAGCATTATCATTGGATGATGATGATGATGATGATGAAGAAGATGAATGAGAAAACCTTTTCATTAAGAGACAACAGTTTATATATTTCTTGCAATGTACTACTGTTCCAACGTTATTTTAATCTTTTAATACGTGGGTTTTTTTGGCTTATGATCTTGGCCTTATTAATAAACTCTCGAATCTGTTCTGATACTTATATGTAAATTTTCAATACATGAAGTCATTTTACTCCTTCAAAGGCATTTTCTGGGCAACTTCACTAACACTCCATTTAACAACTTAACAAAAGTTGGACTAAAATTCAATAAATTAATGTAATAGATTTGATTCTTTATGTGTGACAGAAATAGTGTCTTCACGTTACCCGTTTTCGACTTTATAGTTGTCTAATACTTATAAGAACTATGATGCTTATCGCACTTAGTTATATTACTTGTTATAGGGACATCCAAAGGTGGTTTCTTCTGAATTTATTCCAACGTATCAGCCCTTTTATTTGAAGCATCTTCAAATTTTTAATGGTTTTAAGTAGTAGTAGTAGAGAGAATAAAAGGATTAAGCTCNAAAATTCAATAAATTAATGTAATAGATTTGATTCTTTATGTGTGACAGAAATAGTGTCTTCACGTTACCCGTTTTCGACTTTATAGTTGTCTAATACTTATAAGAACTATGATGCTTATCGCACGTATCAGCCCTTTTATTTGAAGCATTTTCAAATTTTTAATGGTTTTAAGTAGTAGTAGAGAGAATAAAAGGATTAAGCTCATTTGATATGATCAAGCAAGAGGGTCAAGGGTATATTGTTTAAGAATTAAACCCAATTAGACTGTTTTTGGGATTAATTTAATTTAGTATTAGGCTAATGTGATGTTATTTGGAACACCATCATCGACTGATGGGTATCAAAGGAACAGCCATTGTTTGACCCAAAACACTTTGATTACTACGACAAAAAAGGAACCCCCCCGGGGCAACGGCCAGTAATGGGTCAGTATCACCTTGAAATCGTATGGTGTTAAAGTTTATTCTATTCATATTAAATTTATTTACAATCATGTATAATTATTATTATTTTTTTTTTTATCAAATTCAGGTATAATGTTTAGAATTATGAGGCCCAATCTCTAGGACTGGTGGGTATCAAAGGGACAGTCATGCTTGACTGAAACTCACTCAAAGATGATTTACCAAGACAATTAAAAAGGCTAATTGCTTTTTCTATATAATTTTCAACCACATCAACCCTTTTTTTCCCTCATGCCTGTCCTATGTGCAGTCCACTCTTTAAACAAAACATTCGACCGCCTTATTCTNATATCATTTTCAACCACACCAACCCTTTTTTTCCCTCATGCCTGTCCTATGTGCAGTCCACTCTTTAAACAAAACATTCGACCGCCGTGTTTTCCTTAAATCACTCGAAAAATATTAAATAAGACTGATCTTATCAAAGGAACAGACATGGCTGATCGAAACTCTCTCATACATAGAAGTGCTGCTTTCTTCGTATCACTTAATCGAACTTATACTAATATTTTTTTTATAAACTAAAAATTAATTTAATAAATGTAATAATAAAAATGATTAAAAATATTTTTTTATGCAAAAATTAGATCACTACTTGATAAAATATAATAAAAAAATAATATTTTATTTTTATAATACTACTTAAACGTATTAATTGTGTCAATTTTGTATTGTTCGTGTTGAAAACTAACTCAATCCTGTTATTATTCGTGTTAACAGATCGTATCATATACGAGTTCGTTTCAAGAATAATTAACTCTAAGTCATTAATTTCATGTCGATTTCAAGTCATGTTTTTGTATTATATTAGAGATTGACACTCCTATGAGTAATGCTTAATTAATTTACTGATTTAATGCAATATAGTCGTTGAACTAACAGCAAGTCTAAATGTTAGATGAATTTTTTTATTGATCCATCCATTATAATAAATTTAGTTAGTAAATTAGATCAACTAATGATGTGAGACGTAAGAGAAGCCTGCTTATTTGCTAGTGCATTATAACTTCAGTCTTGTACTATTGAGAGTGATAATCAGGAGGTTATCGAGCACAGCTCAACTAAGGGAGTCCCCCGTTGGGTGATACGTGTTTTTGTGGAAGATATCAGATCTTATTCTGCACACCTTAATCTTAGATTTTTACATAAGCCCAAGGCCCATAATAGGGCAGCTCATTGGGGTGGCTGCTGCTGCATTATCCAACTTCTCTTGCTGTGAATTGGACCAGCTCCCCCGTTATAGTTTAAGGCTTTTTTTTTTTCCTATGACTGTAACCAAGTTTTTCGAACCTACTATATTTCTGATTAAAAAAAAAAAATGAAGTGCGACGTTGGTAAAACTTCAAGTTCGGGCCAAACTAATTCGTGGATATAGGCCCGAACAATTAGAGTAGGCCTATTAACTATTTCTCGACTTGTAGCTGATTGTGTTCCCAAACGGGCTGGCCCATAAACCACCTGTTTTACTTTCCCACGGCCTTCAACATGTGTCCTATTCCTATAAAGACCTACNCGACTTGTAGCTGATTGTGTTCCCAAACGGGCTGGCCCATAAACCACCTGTTTTACTTTCCCACGGCCTTCAACATGTGTCCTATTCCTATAAAGACCTACATTTGCACTATTCGATTTTTGACTCAAATTTAAATTTGAATGAAAACATATTAAAAATAATTTTAAATTATTTACTCAAACTCATATAAAATAAACCGAGAANACTTTCCCACGGCCTTCAACATGTGTCCTATTCCTATAAAGACCTACATTTGCACTACTCGATTTTTGATTCAAATTTAAATTTGAATGAAAACATATTAAAAATAATTTTAAATTATTTACTCAAACTCATATAAAATAAACCGAGACTTAAATATTCATTCAAATCATATTTTATCCTTCTTTGAAAATCCGGTAATTATATTTCACTACTTTTAAATTCAAGTTTATATTCATTTTCATTTGAATTTGTCTATTAAAGTGTTTTGTATTAAATCAAATTTTTTTACTTAAATGTTGACTTAAATTTAATTAAAAATTTGAGTGAAGGGTTAAAAATATTCTTAGTACAATTTATTTATTTGTGTTTGTGTAAATCATTATTTTGATTTTTAAGCTATGGNTCATTTGAATTTGTCTATTAAAGTGTTTTGTATTAAATCAAATTTTTTTACTTAAATTTAATTAAAAATTTGAGTGAAGGGTTGAAAATATTCTTAGTACAATTTATTTATTTGTGTTTGTGTAAATCATTATTTTGATTTTTAAGCTATGGAAAAGGCAAAAGTTTGTTGTGAACACAGTGCCCCTCTCCATCAGCACCACAAACCCTTTTCCACAGAACTAAAAGTTTATTAGCCACATGGAAAGGGCAACGTGCAGATAAGCACTCTGGTCCAAATCGTTTACTGTCAACCTGGCTACAATTCGTGTCAAATTCAAATAATTTAACTATTTTTTATATAAATGAGCCGAGTCTTTTAGATTCGTTTTTTTAAACGAGTCTAAAAAATTGTTTGAACCCAACTTATTTAGAACACGAATTGAGCCTTATTNCCCTCTCCATCAGCACCACAAACCCTTTTCCACAGAACTAAAAGTTTATTAGCCACAAGGAAAGGGCAACGTGCAGATAAGCACTCTGGTCCAAATCGTTTACTGTCAACCTGGCTACAATTTGTGTCAAATTCAAATAATTTAACTATTTTTTATATAAATGAGCCGAGTCTTTTAGATTCGTTTTTTTAAACGAGTCTAACAAATTGTTTGAACCCAACTTATTTAGAACACGAATTGAGCCTTATTTGCGAGTAACTCAATTAAACCCCCTAACTCTAACTCACCTACTACACTTCCTCCTTTTACTGCTTCACATCTTCAATCTCTTTCCTCTCTAATACTGCCCACAAAACCATGACCAACCACTTTTCAGCCCTTCACCAAGCTTCATCTCAACCGGTTTTTCGCCGGAAACTGTACACATCCAACTCCATCAAATGCTGCGAGAACCCAAATGTGAATTTTAAGCCTACTGACAATAATGGGTTGGCCAGTTTCCCTGAAAAAAGACTTGCTACAACCTCATCTACCATCAAGCCTCCTCGGCCGCGCCGGATAATTCTGATTCGCCATGGACAAAGTGAAGGAAACGTTGATGAGAGTGTATACACAAGAGTGGCTGACCCAAAGGTTACACTGACAAAGAAAGGATTGGATGAGGCTGAGGAATGTGGGAAGATGATAAGAGAGATGGTTGAGGAAGATGGAGCAGATGACTGGAAGGTTTACTTCTATGCTTCTCCATATAGAAGGACACTTGAAACATTACGTAATTTGGCTAAGTCATTTGAACGCTCAAGGATTGCTGGCGTGAGAGAAGAACCTCGTTTACGAGAGCAAGACTTTGGTATGTTCATGTAATACTTCGAGGGTCACTCACCCAAAAGAGTACCAAAATGTCATACGTTATAAACGATCCGAACAGCTCGAGCTTAGCTTGGTTTTTGAATCATTCAATTTTGTAAAGTAATATGTAGGCTTCGACTCTAGTCGGATAAGTTCCTACTAGAGTCAAACAAAAGATGCATTAACACCAAATTTTCACACATAGTTGTAGTTCACATGTACCTCTCAATCTCTTTCTATCTTGTCTAATACACTACAGAAAAATTTGAACTTCTATTGTTTGATTTTAAAGTTGGTTATACAAATTTTGAGGTATTTTTGTTGAAAAGTTAAATCATTTTCGGATGGAAAAAGTTCTATGGTTTGATTGTATGAAATTCTTATTAAGAAAACTGAGCACGGTTTTGTGTCGAATTCTCTTAACCTCATGTCGAATTGAACTTAAGCACCAATATAAGTTCAGCTTGAGCTTGGCATCACAACGGGGCTGAAACTGACCATATATTCAAACTTGATAAATTCGGCTCAATTAATAACCCTATTTAAATGTCATGATATACCAAAACGGGCATTAAATTTTACCTCCATTTGCTTTTGTTCTCTTTGCCAAGGAAACTTTCAGAACAGAGAAAAAATGAGGATCGAGAAAGCTTATCGTGCTCGTTATGGTCGTTTCTTTTACCGGTTTCCCGAGGGGGAATCTGCAGCTGATGTCTACGATAGAATAACAGGTACTCTGTCCAATAATCTCCAGCACTTACCAATCATTAAACTTGGTAGTAATTGTGGAAGGAATGAAGCTGTGGATTGTTAGAACTGCAGGGTTCAGGGAAACTCTCAAATCAGATATAGACATTGGGAGATTTCAGCCACCTGGTGAACAGAGCCCCAACATGAACATAGTCATTGTCTCTCATGGTCTAACATTGAGGGTGTTCTTGATGAGGTGGTATAAATGGACAGTGGACCAATTTGAAGGACTCCATAACATAGGCAATGGGAAAATGATTGTTATGGAAAGAGGCTATGGTGGAAGGTAGCCTGTTATCTAACCAGTTGCTCATGCTGCTTCCATATCTTAGACTTGACTTTAGGATTGAAGTAATCTTTACACCATTTTTCATGGTGTTTAAGCCAACTGTTTTACTGAATTCTGCATGATTGGCACATTTTTATGGCTTTCAAGATTCCCTCTTAATGATAGATCACTCGTGTATAGATTGAGATTCTTACATATTGTCGTTATCACTTGAATTTTTTATCTTTGATCTACTAACGAAAAAATTTCAGAAAATGTGTACTAAAGAGAACCCAAATCCCCACAACTGTTTGTTTCTCGATTAACACATTCTTATTACTCTAGCTATGGTATATCCTATACTTACAGGTACAGCTTATTAATGCATCACACCAAAGAAGAGCTAAAAAAGTTTGGGTTAACAGATGAAATGCTGGAAGATCAAGAATGGTAAAGAGAGGCCTGCCTGTCTATGCATCATAACTGCTGATAAATTTGCATACTTGAGGAGTTCTTCATCTGGCTTTCATGTTTAGGCTAACCAGTGTTTGTTTCTTTTTGGTGAAGGCAAAAAAGGGCAAGGCCAGGTGAACTAAATTATGATTGGGTTGATGAACTTCACCGACTTTGAGGACGAGAACGCCAAACCGCCAGTCCAGAGACGATCATATTCACCATCGCGGCAATGTAGTGAAAACTCTACGGGGGTGTTTGTTTGGGGGATTGGTATTACTGGGATTGGCTAATGTATTTCAGGTACTTCCAACACCGTGGGCAGTTAATCCCAAGCATAAAAATTAAGGCAATTACATCCCATGTTTGTTTGAGCAATATATTTTATAGTGAGACCCGCAAAAAAAAAAATATTATATCACATCTCATATTGTAAATAGGCCTATTTATTCCTAATACCATCCATTTCATAAATGAGAAGATGTATTATAGTCATTTAGGGGCTTTCTACCATCGGCGGCCCTCAACCGCCGACTAATACCACGGCCTAAGTGGCCTTAGATATAGCCATGTACATGGGTTTACAGCCACCGTAGCAGCCGGGTCAGGAATAAGATCCAAATATTTGTATAGATGTTAAATTACTAATCAAATAAGGTATAAATGGATGCCATGTATTAATATACTATCCCACCTCCTAACCCCACTTTTATACCCCAAACAAACACACCCAACTTGTGCTGTGATGGGCATCTGCTAGGAGGANAAGATCCAAATATTTGTATAGATGTTAAATTACTAATCAAATAAGGTATAAATGGATCCCATGTATTAATATACTATCCCACCTCCTAACCCCACTTTTATACCCCAAACAAACACACCCAACTTGTGCTGTGATGGGCATCTGCTAGGAGGAGTTCAAAGATTCGACTGTGATCACAGTACTTTGAAGAGCTTTACTTCTCTCTCTTTTTTTCCTTTTCTTTGCTTCTAATTTTACTGTTTTTCTACATTGAGGACCAAGGCAAAAGCCTGCTACAAACGAAGAAGCCACAGAAAGATGAAATCCAACCATAATAGCAGTTATATGTAGATTATCCATATATCGATGAATGGTAGTAAAGTTTGACAATCGTTTGAGGGACTGGAGTCGACTGACTAATACGTAACAATCAGATAAGATTGGTAGCTTCACACTGGTGACGGCTGGTAGCTCCTCCTGTTAGCCATTCTCCAATCCCATGAATCGAACTCGGAACACTTTCTGCCCTGATACCAAAAATAATTATTCTATACCAGGCCGTATATAGAATATCTCCTCTTCTGCCATATACAGGATTGCTGCAATTGGTGCAGGGGCGGGGCATTCCCTTCAATCATACCAGCCGAGTGGTAAGGAGAAGATAGTCAAAAACTTTGTGCCGGGGAAAGATAGGATATTGGATCGGGTTGAAGGGTTGAACCATCCATGCCGGGAATATAGGCTAATGCATTCTTTTTNAGATGAAATCCAACCATAATAGCAGTTATATGTAGATTATCCATATATCGATGAATGATAGTAAAGTTTGACAATCGTTTGAGGGACTGGAGTCGACTGACTAATACGTAACAATCAGATAAGATTGTTAGCTTCACACTGGTGACGGCTGGTAGCTCCTCTTGTTAGCCATTCTCCAATCCCATGAATCGAACTCCGAACACTTTCTGCCCTGATACCAAAAATAATTATTCTATACCAGGCCGTATATAGACTATCTCCTCTTCTGCCATATACATGATTGCTGCAATTGGTGCAGGGGGCGAGGCATACCAGCCGAGTGGTAAGGAGAAGATAGTCAAAAACTTTGTGCCGAGGAAAGATAGGATATTAGATCGGGTTGTAGGGTTGAACCATCCATGTCGGGAATATAGGCTAATGCATTCTTTTTCCCTCCTATAGTCTTAATACCCCTAAGAAAGGAACAAGCCCTGAGAAAGGAACAAGAGAGAAAACTCAAACGCTAGCACACTCCAGCAAGAACAAAAAAGGACAATAAGCTCCAAGATCACTTGTATAACCCTGTCGAACCATAACACCCTCATAACAACTAGCGTTATACTAATGATGTTTAGGACTGTAACGTTTCTGCTGTTAAAAAAATCCCACATCAAAAGAAAGATATTCCTTCACTAAAAAGAAATCACTAGGGACACCTGCAACTATCAATAATCTAACAAATTACTCTTCTTTCTAGAAAATAACTTTTAGATATTGTTTTTTTATATGCAAATCAAACAGGGCCCTATTTTCCAGGGAGAAAAAGAGATATTAATTTCCCATTAAATTGATAATATTTCAACAGGCAACAGCCAAAATTTCAACATGAAAGAAGTATATAAAACGCAAATCTTAATCCTAACCAAAATTTTAAAAAGACATCGCAGTAGCGACATTAAAATTTAACCAAAACCGCTGGAAGAAAGGACAACTGCAAGATCCAAATGCTTTCCTGCTGAAAACGAAAACAATTCACCCGGCCCACCATTTTCAAACCACCCAATGTAAACAAAAATGGCACTGCGTATGAAGCTCAGGAAGGCCCTCTCCTACTGGCTTCATCTTCATCACCTTCCTGGGTTCCGAATGTCTTTGAGTTAGCATTATATCTCCCATCTCCACAGTCAATGATGGCGGGGCCTCTCTCTTCTCTAGACCGCTTTGGAAGATCACACATCCGACTCTCACTTCTCATACTGTCAGCCTTATCACTTTCTCTCATCTGGAAATCTGTAGCATCCATATTACAAGAGACGTGTGCCATATTACAACCATCTTCATCATCATCACAGAACTGCTTCACAGATCGGTCCATGTCATGACGCCTTGCAGGATGAATGAACCCATACCTATACTCATGTTTATCATCATCATTCCCCTCGTGCTCATACTGAGGTCTACCTCTTCCAAGTCCATTAAATTCAGAAAATCTTCTCGGATACACAGATTTAGAATACTCGTTTGACTTTGGTTTTAGCAATGGATCCAACAAATCAAACCGGTTGTCCCGTGGACCAATTCTTCCAGGTGACCTCCTGTCTAAAACTGAAGAACGACGCTTGTAACCACTCCATCTGGAATTAGGAGGTGGAGAACCATGGTTTCTTGGCAATGAGACAAAACTTGCAACATGATCTGTCACAAAACCAGATTTATGATGAGGCGACCTCACCCTTGGCATTCGTGCATCAGCTCTGCAATTAGATCTACTTCGGTTTTTAAAACCAAGACTACCAGCAAAACCATCTCCACTTCTTCCTCCTGGAGATTTCAAGGAAATGGGAGAGCGAGTTCTGGATCTTGAGGGAGATTTGGAGTTGGATCTCCGTGCATGAAAAATTTCTTTTTTTCCAAAAGGAGAAAAGCTTCTTCGTCTCCTACCCAAAGAAGAATGTGAATAATACAAGGAAGTTTCAATGCAATCATTTGCACTACCATAGAATCTTCTTCTAGGGGCTCCATCCATTTGTGCACCATACTTTACGGACATTCCCCGCCCAGGAGTCAAACACCTATCGGGACTCCTCTCTCGAGTTGGTCTAAAGCCCAGACGCATACGAAAAGCCTCTTCCCGATCAGCTGGCAATCGACTTCTGAGAGGTCGATGAAAATTATGCGATGCACCTCTCTCTTTTGTATTGGTACCATCAAATGCAATATCTTCTGGCCTGGAGCGATGAAAACCAGTAGCGCCACGATAAGTAGGAGAATGATGGTATTTTGAACCCCTATAACCCTCTAAAGAGTCAGCCCACCTATAACCTCCCCGACCCCTGGCGTGACTTTGCATAGAGTATCTGCCCCTTAAAAAGGGATTAGGAGTGCAACACTCCCTCTCAGACCGAGGATTTGAATATTCGGCGTCTTTGGGACTGAAAACAAAGATGTATGTTAGTACTGACCAGTTATAAATCTACAAAGAACAAAAGTCCATGAAAGCTACTGGTAAGTTAAGAATTACCAGCTTCCCTGCATAGGTAATCTTCCCCTCCTAAGTACACTGCAGGATGCAGTTCTTTCAACAAAGGATGACAAATACCTCCTGTGAGCTCTTGACCCATCCGCTGTTGTTTCTCTATCTTCAGCTCTCAATCCACTTTTTGGATTACGAGCTGAAGATGACTTCAGGTTGCTTTCACCTCTTAGCCAGATCTTTGCATCTCTAGAGCATTTACGGCTTTCAGGCATTGGATCCCCTCCAGACATTTTCACTTTCAATTCAGCTGTTTCACTTGATTCCTTTAATTTGTCTCGTCTATCATTATTCTCATTATGTCTAATCCCACCTTTAGTTCCTGAACCAGATTCTTTGTTATTGCTGTCAACTTTCTCTGGCATCTGCACTCTCAAGTCTGGTCTGCTAGTCTTCCTTGAGGAGCGTCCTGGAGAAAATTGAACATTACTTGCTTGTGCTTTTTCAGAACCCAAATTATTATAGTCACTGTCGTTTGAACCATAGTCCAGACATTCAGTCTCTCCATCCTCACCATCATATTCTTCCCAAGTAAATATGTTNCTTGAGGAGCGTCCTGGAGAAAATTGAACATTACTTGCTTGTGCTTTTTCAGAACCCCAATTATTATAGTCACTGTCGTTTGAACCATAGTCCAGACGTTCAGTCTCTCCATCCTCACCATCATATTCTTCCCAAGTAAATATGTTTGAATCCCTGAGTTCCCCATCTTCATACTGAGAATCATAATCCAGCTCTAGCTCATTTTCTTTATCGAAGTGAGGATCGCCTTGAGAAACATCAAAAACACAACCATCATTCAAATGGCCCTTAAGAATCACATTATCTGAATTACTTACAAGATCATTAGAACCGCTTCTACGCATATCATGTGAGCTAAGAGTACAAGGTGGCAAAACAGACTTTTCTAAAGATGTATTTGCTGGAAGTTTCTCATCATCAACATGCATTAGCATATCAGAATCAGCATTATCATGATCTGAAGAAGCTTTACTATGTTGCACCTTGTTTCTTGCTTCTACCACAGGCTGACTGCCAAGAAATGGCGGCACTGAGGTAGACACCTCTACATTTGTATGAGAATGCGAGAATCTCCCTTCATCTAGCTCAAAGCCAGTATTCTCTTTAAAATCATCCAGAGGCTCATTTCTCAGTGAGTGTCCAGTCTCCAAACCAGACATATCCTTCAAGGCATTCCCATCATCACACAAACCAGAATTTTGGTTTGCATCCCCACCATGTTTATTTTGATTATTATCAATCTCACTGGTAGCCTTGTCTGAAAAAACTACACTGANTCAGTGAGTGTCCAGTCTCCAAACCAGACATATCCTTCAAGGCATTCCCATCATCACGCAAACCAGAATTTTGGTTTGCATCCCCACCATGTTTATTTTGATTATTACCAATCTCACTGGTAGCCTTGTCTGAAAAAACTACACTGCAAACAGAAGCATTCTGCTTCTCAACCTGATAAATAGATGAAACAGTCCCACATGTTCGTATATCAGCAACTCGGTCATGTCCTATCTTCACAAAATCAAAACCAGTGGATGCAGCATTACAATTTTCCTTAGATACAGATGTGCAAGTAAACCTATCAGCTTTGGGGGCCACAGAATAGTCCAAAGATGAATCCACACAAACAAGATGTTGACAAGAGGAAGTTTCACAAGTCTGGGTGCTAAATTTTACATTCCTGGCTGAACCATATCTGTCATTACCTTCCAGGTTCTCTTTCTCATCACTATGGCTCCCATCATCGACGCAGTCAGGCTGGCAATCTGCAACATTAGGCGCTGAAGATAAATGATGACACTCAAAAGGGCTCTCCCATTCATCCATCAATGTATTTAGGTCCCAGTGCAACCTGTTACCTCGTGCACAAGATTCATGCGTTCTAATTGTTCCCTGGTCTTTCTTGTTTGAAAGACCATCTGATCCAGCCACTGAATTATTCGGCAAGGAAGTCCTCTCTGAGATGTTTTCAAGTGGAAAACCATTTGGGGAGTAACTATCCATTCCCAAGGTGTCAGCACCTTCTGGAGAGATAAAGGAACCATTTCCTTCAGCAGATAGCTTGACAGAACCCACAAGGTCTTCTTTAGCTTCATCTTTCATCAGAATTTCACCAGGGCCCTCCCGCTCAGAAGACTCAGCTCCTGAACCATCCTCAATGTCTTCCAAGTTGTTACTGCAGGCTAAAGCAGCAAGTATTGATATCCCAGAAAGGGCTTCATCACCAATTAATTCATTTCCCTTAACTGACTTTTTCCCATCAACAGTCTGATCACTAGCAACAATTTGACCTAAGTCAACTGCAGAAGCAGATGCTGCAGATTGGCAATTTGAAATTGGACTCATAAGAAACCCCTGACCAGAAGCATGTTGACTCTTGGGCAGTCTTTCAGTTTCCTCAGAGCATGAAGAAGGGATTCTGAGTGGTGGAGATGGAGACCTAAATAAAAACCTTCTCTTCTTAATTGGTGTATGCTCCGCCTTGTTACCGAAGTGGCACCCAAGAACAGAATCCCCCAGCTGCAAACAGAAAAGAAGAAAGATATTATCGTGCTATAAAATGCAGCTATTTCTGCTTACAAGAATGAAACATAGAAATAAACCAACAGTTATATTACAACCACCTTAACATGTGGTGTGTACCTTCTCAGATCCAGACAAAGACATTTCCACCTTTTTATACTCCTTATACAACTGCCCACTAGACTGCAAACTTGTTCTAGTGCGCCTTGATAACTCCTGTCACCTTTTGAAACCTTTTTCAAATTCGAGTCAGTCCAGACCAATTGTGGTAAGTTTGCCACTAGAGGGAGACCTTGTCCCATCAACTGAGGGTCTTCTACCACACGTCTTGCAGGATGCCAATGCTGCTTGTCTTTCACGTGACCCAATAACAGAGTTTGACCCCCCAGTACAGGTACATAGGTGAACCTGCATATATAGTCTCCATTTAGAAATACTATAACATTTAGATGAGAAAAAAATGGATAATTTCTAAGCAATAATCAGTGCCGACAATTAATAGTGAACTCTCATTATAATGTTCCAAAGACTGACAGGGACTATATAAGCTCTGCAGGATCCAGTAAGTTCAAATTCTAACGCCTGAGCAACATCCACTGTACAACGCGATGCGACACTTATTGTACAAAAAAGAGCCTCTACTCTTAATGACACATATTGTACAATCTAATTCATAATTAATTACAGACAATCAACAATGTCATTAATAAACACAAAAACCAAGAACAAGACTCTGGGAAAGTAACTATAAGTGATTTTGTAGATGTCAATCCATCAATGATGTCAATCATACGTGGCCAACGTTGTCAAAGGCCATAAACAAGTCACTTGTGAGACTCCAATACTGATAAGAGTTCAGAAATGGCTCAGTCAATAGATTTTGTGCAACAAATCTTAGAATGCCAAATGGCAGTTCATTGCAAAATTAAACAACGATGACAATAACTAGAAGGATATAAATAAGGAATAAGAACCACGAATCTTAACTCAATTGGTTTTGACTTTAATACACGACAAATCTGGATTGACAAATAGCAGTCCATTGCAAAACTAAACGACAACAATGATAAATTTGAATGACATAGATAAGGGTTCCAATACTGATAAGAGTTCAGAAACAGCTCAGTCAATTGGTTTTGACATTAATATGCAACACATCTTAGAATGCCAAATGGCAGTTCATTGCAAAATTAAACGACGACGATGATAAATAGAAAGATATAAATAAGGGATAAGAATCACGAATCTTAACGTTTAACTTTAATACACGACAAATCTGGATTTACAAATAGCAGTTCATTGCAAAACTAAATGACAAAAATGATAAATTTGAATGACATAGATAAGGGATAAGAACCAAGAATCTACATAATCTATTGTTGGAAACACACGGTGAATCCAAGCATGAATAAAACCTTTCTTCAAACTTCAACCATTTCTAGCACTAAAGTAGACAATTAGGTCATTGTCCAGATGTTAACAGGGTTTTGGCAATTCAATACGTAATCCACCAAATGGTGCTTTAGGAACCAAGGCAGGAGTATTATACAAGACATCGAGCAACATAAACAAGATGTTTGAAATAACTTCCAATGTTTTGATCCAACTACACCAGACTGCATCATAACTCTTGTCCAAGCAGACGAATATTGAAAACCTAAGCAAACAGTGAAGATATTAATTGCTTCCATGAGGAGCAACCAAATTTCTCAATTCCCATAGCCTGCAGGTCTTTTGGGGAAAATCCAAAATGTTCAATGCAAAAAATATCCTGGCAGAAACAAGGTTGCAGCAGTTGAGGCACGGATGTATGCAACTGTGCAAGAACAATATAACGCCGTAAACCACAAATCCGACCACATAAATCGAAGAATGCAGATCCAAATACAACTGTTTATGCCCAATTGAAAACTCCTGCGAGCATCAGGGACTGATATATCTACTAATGTGCACGAAGTAAACTACCAGTCAGAACAACTCCATCACCAAGCTAGGGTTCAACAAAAAGTCTAATGTGATTGTGTATACAGTCCACAATTAAGCCCTGTCAACGTGCAGAGAGATCTCCAACCAGAAGTGAACTCCATGAACCAAGTCAAGGCATTGGGCAGTTAGCTAGACCACATACATGAAGATTCACGCATGTACCCAAGATGAATGAAGCCAAAAACTTCAGATGAAGCGAAAAAAAGAAAAACCCTACGAATCAAACCTCCGGTTAAAAATTTCATAAAACCACTATCAATCATAATCTTCAAGTCTTCAACCTGTTCGAAAGTCCAAGTTTAGTCTTCAAGAACCTTCGCCCCAGTCCAGTGGACATCATCGAGGCGATCCCTAGGGTTTGGGCCAATGAACTGGCTCTCGGTATGGCTTTTGATCGATCTTGCAAACAAACATGCAAGCAAAACACATGCACAAATATACACTACAAGCTAGGGTTTCATATACCTGTGATCGAATCGAAAATCAACTTCTTTCAAGTCCCTTCAAACTGATTCAATGCAGCAAGATTCAAACCCAATCTAAGTAAAAGGCAATGGCAATGAATGTGGCTCTGGTACAGACCATGCAAAGCGACTCCAACCAATGCTTCCTCAAAAACCAGTCATGTCTTCCTCTTTCTCTCTCTCTAGAAGTTACTTTGTCTCTCAAGATCCTTTTCCTCCATATGCTAGACGCCAACGCCTCTCTCCCTTGCTTCTCTCTCACTCTCTCAATACTCTGTCTTTCCTTCTCTGTGCGAACACACAATGCGCATCCCATATTTCGGTAATCTCACATTCACCGCGTATTTATGCTTCGCTTTATTCCTTGCCCCTTGCCCTTGCCCTTGCCCTTTTCGGACAACTTTCCTATTCTGCCCTCTCACCAACGCAACGCTTTTGGGTTTTGGCTTTTGTATCGTTTTCGGACAACTTTCCTATTCTGCCCTCTCACCAACGCAACGCTTTTGGGTTTTGGCTTTTGTATCGGGTTCGGGTTTGGGGCAACTCTTTCGGTTAACAGCACACACATTGACGATAACCGGTCGCCATGGATGATGTATGCTATTTATTAATTCTTTAATTCATATCTAATCAGATTCTTTATTAAAAAAATTAATAATAAATCATAATTTTTTTTTCGAAAAGTAATAATAAATAATAGTATGCCTATCGAACTATGATTTTTTTTTATTTAAGAAGCATTGGGCTGACTTGATAGGTTTTTGCAATAGGTAAATTCCTGACACTTGGCAAACTTTTAAAGAATTTTCATATTTGGCTATACTAAATTGGAAAAAAATTAAAAGAAATATATAAAAAAAATTTCTTTTCAAATTAACATAAATTTTTATTCGTGAACTTTCAAAAATTTATCCGCCACTAAAAAAAGCGATTGAGAACCTCTATCGAATAATCAAAACTAACGAGATTAATAACTAATGTTTCCTTGTCTCCATAGCATATGAATTAGCATTACGTCATTACAACAAGTGATACTCATCCAATAATCATTAACAAAAATATTCCCTAATTATTGCATTCGGATAAATCGATAAAAAATATAGCAACACCTAAATATAGGGCAACTAAGGAAATAGCGAGATTGACCGAAATTACAAAAATAGGTTGACTTTTTTTCATCTTAGTTATGAAAAGTGAAAATCGTTTTATTTAGTACGAGATTGCTGCACATCTAGTGTTTATTTCTTTCCCATTTTAAGTTGAATTTGCAAACAGAATCCAAAATCTTAGGCAAGTTTTTCAAATTGTGNATCTCACATTCACCGCGTATTTATGCTTCGCTTTATTCCTTGCCCCTTGCCCTTGCCTTTGCCCTTGCCCTTTTCGGACAACTTTCCTATTCTGCCCTCTCGCCAACGCAACGCTTTTGGGTTTTGGCTTTTGTATCGGGTTCGGGGTTCGGGTTCGGTTCGGGTTCGGGTTCGGGTTCGGGGCAACTCTTTCGGTTAACAGCACACACATTGACGATAACCGGTCGCCATGGATGATGTATGCTATTTATTAATTCTTTAATTCATATCTAATCAGATTCTTTATTAAAAAAATTAATAATAAATCATAATTTTTTTTTCGAAAAGTAATAATAAATAATAGTATGCCTATCGAACTATGATTTTTTTTTATTTAAGAAGCATTGGGCTGACTTGATAGGTTTTTGCAATAGGTAAATTCCTGACACTTGGCAAACTTTTAAAGAATTTTCATATTTGGCTATACTAAATTGGAAAAAAATTAAAAGAAATATATAAAAAAAATTTCTTTTCAAATTAACATAAATTTTTATTCGTGAACTTTCAAAAATTTATCCGCCACTAAAAAAAGCGATTGAGAACCTCTATCGAATAATCAAAACTAACGAGATTAATAACTAATGTTTCCTTGTCTCCATAGCATATGAATTAGCATTACGTCATTACAACAAGTGATACTCATCCAATAATCATTAACAAAAATATTCCCTAATTATTGCATTCGGATAAATCGATAAAAAATATAGCAATACCTAAATATAGGGCAACTAAGGAAGTAGCGAGACTGACCGAAATTACAAAAATAGGTTGACTTTTTTTCATCTTAGTTATGAAAAGTGAAAATCGTTTTATTTAGTACGAGATTGTTTCACATCTAGTGTTTATTTCTTTCCCATTTTAAGTTGAATTTGCAAACAGAATCCAAAATCTTAGGCAAGTTTTTCAAATTGTAGTATCCGGCTAAATAGGCAAAATAAAAATAAAAATAAAAATGGAAGACCTAGAATTCCTAAGCTTTGGTATTATTTTTCCCCACATACTTGAACTTGGTTGTTTCTTCACTTTTCAAATTCACACAAAAAGTTTGACAAGAATATAGCAATAATTTTTATGTATTTCTAGTAATCAAACAATAAAAATCTTAAATTAATATTAAAACATAAGTTACCTATCTTTTGTGGGTGGGCGGACGTTTGTTTTTGCTATATTTTTTGGGTTGGGTCATAAGAGTGTCAGTTGTGTCATGTCATTTTATTTTCATATCATATCACTTTTAGTCAAATTTGTATCAATTTTGATATGTGTCGTGTTCATGTTAATAAAAAAATATTTAATTATATAGCACCTCATATAATATGATGTAAAAACATCAAATATATNTATCGGGTTCGGGTTTGGGGCAACTCTTTCGGTTAACAGCACACACATTGACGATAACCGGTCGCCATGGATGATGTATGCTATTTATTAATTCTTTAATTCATATCTAATCAGATTCTTTATTAAAAAAATTAATAATAAATCATAATTTTTTTTTCGAAAAGTAATAATAAATAATAGTATGCCTATCGAACTATGATTTTTTTTTATTTAATAAGCATTGGGCTGACTTGATAGGTTTTTGCAATAGGTAAATTCCTGATACTTGGCAAACTTTTAAAGAATTTTCATATTTGGCTATACTAAATTGGAAAAAAATTAAAAGAAATATATAAAAAAAATTTCTTTTCAAATTAACATAAATTTTTATTCGTGAACTTTCAAAAATTTATCCGCCACTAAAAAAAGCGATTGAGAACCTCTATCGAATAATCAAAACTAACGAGATTAATAACTAATGTTTCCTTGTCTCCATAGCATATGAATTAGCATTACGTCATTACAACAAGTGATACTCATCCAATAATCATTAACAAAAATATTCCCTAATTATTGCATTCGGATAAATCGATAAAAAATATAGCAATACCTAAATATAGGGCAACTAAGGAAGTAGCGAGACTGACCGAAATTACAAAAATAGGTTGACTTTTTTTCATCTTAGTTATGAAAAGTGAAAATCGTTTTATTTAGTACGAGATTGTTTCACATCTAGTGTTTATTTCTTTCCCATTTTAAGTTGAATTTGCAAACAGAATCCAAAATCTTAGGCAAGTTTTTCAAATTGTAGTATCCGGCTAAATAGGCAAAATAAAAATAAAAATAAAAATGGAAGACCTAGAATTCCTAAGCTTTGGTATTATTTTTCCCCACATACTTGAACTTGGTTGTTTCTTCACTTTTCAAATTCACACAAAAAGTTTGACAAGAATATAGTAATAATTTTTATGTATTTCTAGTAATCAAACAATAAAAATCTTAAATTAATATTAAAACATAAGTTACCTATCTTTTGTGGGTGGGCGGACGTTTGTTTTTGCTATATTTTTTGGGTTGGGTCATAAGAGTGTTAGTTGTGTCATGTCATTTTATTTTCATATCATATCACTTTTAGTCAAATTTGTATCAATTTTGATATGCGTCGTGTTCATGTTAATAAAAAAATATTTAATTATATAGCACCTCATATAATATGATGTAAAAACATCAAATATATATATATATATATATAATACATATTTTTTGCTTTTAACTCTCGTTAATCGTGTTTAACCTTAATTTGACTGATTTTATTATTTGTGTCATATCGATGTCAATGGACAAAAATGACACCCTTGGCTGGGGGTTGGGGAGGAGAAAATTTTGAGGTGGAGGACTAAAATTGATACTAGTAGTAGTACTTGATAATACCCCAACCAAACAGAAAACTATATTATAAACTAAAGGTGCACATAAGGTTGCAGAATAAGACACCATAATACAGATTTGATGGAACTTGTCACCTAGAAGTTGCATAAACATTAGCCATCTTACATTTTGTACTGCTCAGCCTTTTTGATAGTGTTTTGATCAAGTTTTTGACAATCCAAAGCAAATTCACATGCAGTCCTCAACCATAATGTTCACCATCTGCCCACCAAAAGAATGGTTTCATACATGTAATCTATCACTAAATGATACCACCTGAGAAATCACCAACAGGTAACAAGAACAGCTAGAACTTCGAATTGACATGGCAGTGCTCAGCTATAATGGGTAATATACACTTTGTCACCATTGATCAATCTAAAACCTGCATATGGGTCAGCTAGCTCCTGCTGATCTAACACCTTGTCAACAGTCCATCAACATTGGCATTATGGAATGAAAATACTTTCTTTCCACATTAGGTGATGCTCAAATCCACAATGGTAGATGACAGAAACGCCTTCGTAATGCCTCCCCCCCCCCAAAAAAAAAAATTAGCTCCAATGATATAGTACTGGAAAAAAAAAAGGATGGAATTCAAGCATCAAAAATGAGAAATGCAAGCAAATTCTATTTTGATGATTCCCAACAAAACATGTAAGTTGCACGGGTAACAACTCTCGTCTTCCAGATTTAACCATGGTAATACATCTATTATAACAGCGCATTACCCACCTCTGCAAATATAATTCTGTCGATACAAAATGCTGTTCATGGTTTTGAGGCAAGAAGGTATAAAAGAGAAGCATAACGTGATATAAAGGTTGCTTGGTGACAGAAGTATCAAAGGAGACAACCATGGGAACAACACTGCACTGTAGAATTGTCAAGATCGTGAGTTCTCAATAGTTGCAGTCGTGATTTGCATCTGCTGAGGGCGTTCTGGCTCACCATTTCGTCTCCAGAAAGCTCTCCTCCACCAAACCTCAAATCCTCTCTGAATGTTCGGACAATCATCACCTGAGTTTAAAAACCGATCAAACCAAGACATCAAAATTTCCTGCTGCCAAGCCATAGGCAGAGTTAGAATGGTGTTGCTGAGACCATCCTCAATTAAATGTCGGTCGAGGCCTTTTGATGCCCTCCTCATCCACCCAAAATCCTCATAGAATGGCACCAACCAAGTCTGTAAAAGCAAGCACCTGACATCCTTAGAAGCCAGCAACTGCCCCTTGCCAATTCCAACGAACAGCCTAGCTGTAACTCTGTTAATCTCGTACCTGTGAATTGCTGGCACTTTCGAATGTGCATCAGACAATTCAGACTGAGATGCCCAAGTCTTCAAAAAGTCCTCGGCAATCTGTCTGTCAATCAAAATATCTAAAATCCAATGCAAATTATCCGCCTGCCTTGCAATCTGACCAACATCCTGAAAGTCTGCCTTTGCTGCTCGCAAGAAATGGTGGTGCAGCAATTGCAAACACCCATCACAAGCAGAGTACAATGACTCATTTCTCAAATCATTCTGAGATGAATTCTCACGAAGCATTTTCAACACCAACCCTTTCATCTCTCTCCTCGCTTTCTCGTCCTTCCCTTCAAGAACTACCTGCAAAAGCTTAAGGAGCACTTCTTCATTGCCATTTCCATCCTCAACCCCAGCTGTAACATCAACCGAAACCCTCTTCAAAACTTCCCCAGCACCAACTACTTCAAGCTGTAGCTCCGATAACAGAGAAGCCACCTTCTCTTCTTCATCCTCAGTCCATGGAGCAGCTTCTAAGTACTCCAAACAAGTTAAAACCCCTGCATCAAACCCAATTGCCGCTGAAACCTATATCACCACGATTCAAAAACCATAAACTCTCAAATTTTGCAACAACTTGCTACTCAATCAACTAATTCATACATGCATATATGCAGTCTTATATAAATTTAAAGCACATTTAATCTATATATGTGTGAATGTAGATATGTGTGAATNCTAATTCATACATGCATATATGCAGTCTTATATAAATTTAAAGCACATTTAATCTATCCCTCTGCCTTTAGTATAAGGGTGTGTTCATTACGTATATATGTGTGAATGTACCTATGAATTTGTCTGGATATGTCCATGTACAAGCATTGTACTAACAGAACACAAATATCATCATACAACCAAAAAAAATTCAAACCCTATAGATCCTCATATTCAGTTAATCTTCCAATAAAATTATCCAGGTTACTCTTACTCACACACACACACACACACACATTCATTTACACTAGTATACAGCAATGAAAACAGGCCCACATTTATGAATACTTTTACCTTTAAGATACCAAGGACTCTGGAAACATCTTCTTTCATCAATTTCTTCCTCAAATCCTCACAATACATCAACCTAAGAGTCTCAATATAAACCTCAATATCATCACAATCCGCGATCTCAACAATGTATGGAGTCGAAATTCTCTGCTGTTTCCCCCACCTCTCGGACAGCTTGACAGAGAAAAAACGACTATGCCCAACCAAGATCTGCCTATGAACATTTATACACACACTAAGACCATCTTTTGAGCTCAAAGTTAACTTCATATCACTTGAATTCGAATCATTGAATTGATTTCCAGGGCTTCGACACGCTAAAACGTTGATCAGACGTTGTTGCATTAACGATTGTTTGTCCAGTGGTGGGACTTGTGATGGTTTTGGGGCCGAAAGCACGGGAGTTTGAGTGGAGATCTGGGTGGTTCTTGGGTGGACATCGAGCTCGCTGGCCATCATTTCGAAAAGGGTTGTGCTTGAACGGGTTTTATCGATTGATTGTGGTGGTGACATTGGGTTGAGAAGGCCTGCGGTCAAAGCTGAATTGAACTTGCTGAATGAAGTTGAGAAAAAATCATGGGGGGTGGCACCGCCGTAAACGGTGGTCGTGGTGGCGATGGGTGAGCCCATGGGTTGAGGAAGTGTAGCGGGTGAGTATCGGATCTTGAAATTTAACGGGGATGTTGACGGAGATGATGATAGCAACGACAGAAGCTGAAATGGGTTCTAGAATTGAGGGTCCGTTTGGGGGGCTGTAACGGGGCTATGGAGGAAAGGGGTGGCGGCGGTATTGGAGGAGACGGTTTCGAGGCGGGGCAGCACCAGGAATTGTCAGGGGAGACAACGGTAGGGGGGTCGAGTTTGGGGGTTTGGTGGTGGTTGTATGTTAAATATGCGATGGAGGAGTCAAATGTTATGGTGGTGGCGACGGGGGTTGTGGTGATGGTGGTTTCGCGCAGGCGACGACGATTGGGTTTAGTGGGCTGGGTTTGGATTTTTGAGACGGGCTGTTGTGGCTGCCATATGAGCTTAGTATTACTATACTATAGTGTGTGTGGGTGTGAGCTTTGGATTTGTTGTCCTTTTGGGCACTTTGGATTCATCAGTTTTGTTGTAGAGAGAGAAAGAGAGAAACTTAGAGGTAGAAACGAATTAAGAATGGCGGTGGATACGAGACAGATATGGAATAATGTGAACCAGGTAGCATTCATGAAGACAGCAAAGACAGACATGTTTTTAGTCATATGCTCTGGTTGTATCACCAATCTTCGCATGGTTGCAAAGCTGTGCGTGTGTGTGTGTGAGAGAGAGAGAGATTTGTGGGGTTTGGTGGCTCCACCAGAGGGGCTTTGGGTTGGTATTGCACTTTGGATTTGAATCTATTACCAATATATTCTATTTATCAAACTTATTTATCGATTTATTATCATTTTCAACTTATTTATCAAACTATCATTGTTTTAAAAGCGAATTTAATAAATCTGACTTTATTTAGAAAACAGATTGACAAATCCGACTTCATAGGAAAAATACTAAATCCGTCTTTATATAGAAAGCGGACATACCAAATCCGCCTTTATAAGAAAAACAAACTTACCAAGGTGTAAACCTTTATTTGTATAATTGTGTTAATCACCAAAAGCATATTTGGTTATTTATTGAATACGTTTAGTCTCTCTGATTATATATTTTTTGTGAATAAATTACTCATCTTTATTAGTAGTTAAAAATTCACTAATAGATTATATCTAAATTTATTAGTTATAACCCGTGCCTGAAGCCATGATAAAATATAAAATTCGAGAATTCAAAAAATTGATCTCACTATATTAAATTTTTTTAAAATATATTAATTACAAATTAATCAAATATTAAATAATTAATTATATGATAAAAATGAGTGATTTATTTTTTAGGGAGAAAATATATAAAGTCAAGAATTTCGGGTGGTATCCCAGTAAGAAAATTAGATGAAATATTAAAAGTTACTAGTTGAGACAAAAAACGGATTTGGTATATCTGCTTTTTAAACGAAGTCAGATTTGGTATATTAAATTTCCCTATAAAGTCGGATTTGTCAAATCCGTTTTCCCTATAAGGCCGAATTTGGCAAATCTGTTTTTAAAATAGAGATAGTTTGATAAATAAGTTGAAAACAGTAGTAGATTAATAAATAAGTTTGATAAATGGAATAGGTTAGTAATAGATTCCTTTGTATTTGGTCTCTCTCTCCGCTGGAGAAGCTCTGGGTCTGGTTTTGACAGAGTGGATGAAAAGGACAGCGGTCCCTAGAGAGTGATGGTGATCCCCCACCAACCACCAACATGTTTTTGGTTTCTTTAGCTAATCCAGTGATGTCTTTTAGTTATTCTAGACTTTGATTGACAGAGTTTGTGACAGTTGTTTGGTTGTGTTTTACGCATGTTACTTAAAGAGTATAAGACTATCATCGTCCATCACAATTTGTCTGTACAAAAACTTCTCCAGAGCAGGCATGGCAGTGAGGAACAGTCCTCTTGTTAAAAATGCTCGTGCCCAACTGTTTTTCATTTGAATCCGCTCGCTCGGGCTTCAATCTATTTCAAGGACAAAAGGTGGGCCACAACCCCAAATGTAGCCAGCCCTCTGAAAATAGGAATGAGATGTAAAATTAGACATCTCAAATTCAAAATTTAAGCAACTTTCTTGTGGTCAGACAATTACTTATGAAATTTTTAATTCTGATGTAAATAATTTGTCTTTAAATCTTGTTTTTGTATTGTACTCGAATATCACACTGCAATTTACTATATGATCTGAAAAGAGACACATAGAGTTGGACAAGAAGGAGTGTTGATCATTTCCTTTCATAACACTATTCAATGCCTTTGGCCTTCTGTATCATGTGTATGTGCTTTTCTCCCTCCACTCTCTCTCCTTTTTCTATCTGGTCATACAATATCATGAAAATATGATCTATCAAACCAATTCTAATCAACAAAGGCTCTGCATTGAACTTCTTTATTTTCCACTTGTTGTCCTATTGGGATTAAAGGTGGGTCAATGGGCCATTTCAACCCTAAAAGGAGAAACAATAGCAGATGAAAGGTNTGTAGATATGTGTGAATGTATAAGGGTGTGTTCATTACGTATATATGTGTGAATGTACCTATGAATTTGTCTGGATATGTCCATGTACAAGCATTGTACTAACAGAACACAAATATCATCATACAACCAAAAAAAATTCAAACCCTATAGATCCTCATATTCAGTTAATCTTCCAATAAAATTATCCAGGTTACTCTTACTCACACACACACACACACACACATTCATTTACACTAGTATACAGCAATGAAAACAGGCCCACATTTATGAATACTTTTACCTTTAAGATACCAAGGACTCTGGAAACATCTTCTTTCATCAATTTCTTCCTCAAATCCTCACAATACATCAACCTAAGAGTCTCAATATAAACCTCAATATCATCACAATCCGCGATCTCAACAATGTATGGAGTCGAAATTCTCTGCTGTTTCCCCCACCTCTCGGACAGCTTGACAGAGAAAAAACGACTATGCCCAACCAAGATCTGCCTATGAACATTTATACACACACTAAGACCATCTTTTGAGCTCAAAGTTAACTTCATATCACTTGAATTCGAATCATTGAATTGATTTCCAGGGCTTCGACACGCTAAAACGTTGATCAGACGTTGTTGCATTAACGATTGTTTGTCCAGTGGTGGGACTTGTGATGGTTTTGGGGCCGAAAGCACGGGAGTTTGAGTGGAGATCTGGGTGGTTCTTGGGTGGACATCGAGCTCGCTGGCCATCATTTCGAAAAGGGTTGTGCTTGAACGGGTTTTATCGATTGATTGTGGTGGTGACATTGGGTTGAGAAGGCCTGCGGTCAAAGCTGAATTGAACTTGCTGAATGAAGTTGAGAAAAAATCATGGGGGGTGGCACCGCCGTAAACGGTGGTCGTGGTGGCGATGGGTGAGCCCATGGGTTGAGGAAGTGTAGCGGGTGAGTATCGGATCTTGAAATTTAACGGGGATGTTGACGGAGATGATGATAGCAACGACAGAAGCTGAAATGGGTTCTAGAATTGAGGGTCCGTTTGGGGGGCTGTAACGGGGCTATGGAGGAAAGGGGTGGCGGCGGTATTGGAGGAGACGGTTTCGAGGCGGGGCAGCACCAGGAATTGTCAGGGGAGACAACGGTAGGGGGGTCGAGTTTGGGGGTTTGGTGGTGGTTGTATGTTAAATATGCGATGGAGGAGTCAAATGTTATGGTGGTGGCGACGGGGGTTGTGGTGATGGTGGTTTCGCGCAGGCGACGACGATTGGGTTTAGTGGGCTGGGTTTGGATTTTTGAGACGGGCTGTTGTGGCTGCCATATGAGCTTAGTATTACTATACTATAGTGTGTGTGGGTGTGAGCTTTGGATTTGTTGTCCTTTTGGGCACTTTGGATTCATCAGTTTTGTTGTAGAGAGAGAAAGAGAGAAACTTAGAGGTAGAAACGAATTAAGAATGGCGGTGGATACGAGACAGATATGGAATAATGTGAACCAGGTAGCATTCATGAAGACAGCAAAGACAGACATGTTTTTAGTCATATGCTCTGGTTGTATCACCAATCTTCGCATGGTTGCAAAGCTGTGCGTGTGTGTGTGTGAGAGAGAGAGAGATTTGTGGGGTTTGGTGGCTCCACCAGAGGGGCTTTGGGTTGGTATTGCACTTTGGATTTGAATCTATTACCAATATATTCTATTTATCAAACTTATTTATCGATTTATTATCATTTTCAACTTATTTATCAAACTATCATTGTTTTAAAAGCGAATTTAATAAATCTGACTTTATTTAGAAAACAGATTGACAAATCCGACTTCATAGGAAAAATACTAAATCCGTCTTTATATAGAAAGCGGACATACCAAATCCGCCTTTATAAGAAAAACAAACTTACCAAGGTGTAAACCTTTATTTGTATAATTGTGTTAATCACCAAAAACGTATTTGGTTATTTATTGAATACGTTTAGTCTCTCTGATTATATATTTTTTGTGAATAAATTACTCATCTTTATTAGTAGTTAAAAATTCACTAATAGATTATATCTAAATTTATTAGTTATAACCCGTGCCTGAAGCCATGATAAAATATAAAATTCGAGAATTCAAAAAATTGATCTCACTATATTAAATTTTTTTAAAATATATTAATTACAAATTAATCAAATATTAAATAATTAATTATATGATAAAAATGAGTGATTTATTTTTTAGGGAGAAAATATATAAAGTCAAGAATTTCGGGTGGTATCCCAGTAAGAAAATTAGATGAAATATTAAAAGTTACTAGTCGAGACAAAAAACGGATTTGGTATATATGCTTTTTAAACGAAGTTAGATTTGGTATATTAAATTTCCCTATAAAGTCGGATTTGTCAAATTCATTTTCCTATAAGGTCAAATTTGGCAAATCTACTTTTAAAATAGAGATAGTTTGATAAATAAGTTGAAAACGGTAGTAGATTAGTAAATAAGTTTGATAAATGGAATAGGTTAGTAATAGATTCCTTTGTATTTGGTCTCTCTCTCCGCTGGAGAAGCTCTGGGTCTGGTTTTGACAGAGTGGATGAAAAGGACAGCGGTCCCTAGAGAGTGATGGTGATCCCCCACCAACCACCAACATGTTTTTGGTTTCTTTAGCTAATCCAGTGATGTCTTTTAGTTATTCTAGACTTTGATTGACAGAGTTTGTGACAGTTGTTTGGTTGTGTTTTACGCATGTTACTTAAAGAGTATAAGACTATCATCGTCCATCACAATTTGTCTGTACAAAAACTTCTCCAGAGCAGGCATGGCAGTGAGGAACAGTCCTCTTGTTAAAAATGCTCGTGCCCAACTGTTTTTCATTTGAATCCGCTCGCTCGGGCTTCAATCTATTTCAAGGACAAAAGGTGGGCCACAACCCCAAATGTAGCCAGCCCTCTGAAAATAGGAATGAGATGTAAAATTAGACATCTCAAATTCAAAATTTAAGCAACTTTCTTGTGGTCAGACAATTACTTATGAAATTTTTAATTCTGATGTAAATAATTTGTCTTTAAATCTTGTTTTTGTATTGTACTCGAATATCACACTGCAATTTACTATATGATCTGAAAAGAGACACATAGAGTTGGACAAGAAGGAGTGTTGATCATTTCCTTTCATAACACTATTCAATGCCTTTGGCCTTCTGTATCATGTGTATGTGCTTTTCTCCCTCCACTCTCTCTCCTTTTTCTATCTGGTCATACAATATCATGAAAATATGATCTATCAAACCAATTCTAATCAACAAAGGCTCTGCATTGAACTTCTTTATTTTCCACTTGTTGTCCTATTGGGATTAAAGGTGGGTCAATGGGCCATTTCAACCCTAAAAGGAGAAACAATAGCAGATGAAAGGTATTCAACAGAATGGCCCAAGAAGGAAGGTGGTATGTCCTTCACTGTCTGATAACTACTTTAATATATAGTTCCCAATAGAACATTTTCATGGGTGATTGTTTGCTGTCTCTGANTGCATTGAACTTCTTTATTTTCCACTTGTTGTCCTATTGGGATTAAAGGTGGGTCAATGGGCCATTTCAACCCTAAAAGGAGAAACAATAGCAGATGAAAGGTATTCAACAGAATGGCCCAAGAAGGAAGGTGGTATGTCCTTCACTGTCTGATAACTTTAATATATAGTTCCCAATAGAACATTTTCATGTGTGATTGTTTGCTGTCTCTGATATTTTAACATAGGAAGGCTTGAAATTTCGCAGTTTTTATTCTAGTGGTAAAGTGTTACTAAAAAATGACTCTCCTCTCCTCTGTTGTCTTTAAAAATAATAANAAGGTGGTATGTCCTTCACTGTCTGATAACTTTAATATATAGTTCCCAATAGAACATTTTCATGTGTGATTGTTTGCTGTCTCTGATATTTTAACATAGGAAGGCTTGAAATTTCGCAGTTTTTATTCTAGTGGTAAAGTGTTACTAAAAAATGACTCTCCTCTGTTGTCTTNGGAAGGTGGTATGTCCTTCACTGTCTGATAACTTTAATATATAGTTCCCAATAGAACATTTTCATGTGTGATTGTTTGCTGTCTCTGATATTTTAACATAGGAAGGCTTGAAATTTCGCAGTTTTTATTCTAGTGGTAAAGTGTTACTAAAAAATGACTCTCCTCTCCTCTGTTGTCTTTAAAAATAATAATAAAAAGAATAAAGGTCAAAGGGTCAAATTTTTCTCCTCCATCCATGCCTGTTGAATAGCCTTGTTAATGGGCCGAAATATGACACGATCAATTAACATAAATACTATACAAGTCGGATTAGTGCCAAATACGTAGACACGAATAACCCATTTATTTTTATTTTTTATTTTTTTGGATGTCATAAAAAACGACACAATCCCTATTAAACAGTTTTAGTTGGGCTATGTAACAAGCCATTTACCACTGGATCAGCAGAGGCTGGTGGGCCTCCATTCGCAGAACTTAAAGGTCACCTTTGCGGCCTACAAATAATAGGCCCATATCACCTTTTTCTCCAGCATACAGACGTAATCAGACACGTTATATATACCCTAGTAGATTAATGGCTCAGTGGGCCCANTTTTTGAGACGGGCTGTTGTGGCTGCCATATGAGCTTAGTATTACTATACTATAGTGTGTGTGGGTGTGAGCTTTGGATTTGTTGTCCTTTTGGGCACTTTGGATTCATCAGTTTTGTTGTAGAGAGAGAAAGAGAGAAACTTAGAGGTAGAAACGAATTAAGAATGGCGGTGGATACGAGACAGATATGGAATAATGTGAACCAGGTAGCATTCATGAAGACAGCAAAGACAGACATGTTTTTAGTCATATGCTCTGGTTGTATCACCAATCTTCGCATGGTTGCAAAGCTGTGCGTGTGTGTGTGTGAGAGAGAGAGAGATTTGTGGGGTTTGGTGGCTCCACCAGAGGGGCTTTGGGTTGGTATTGCACTTTGGATTTGAATCTATTACCAATATATTCTATTTATCAAACTTATTTATCGATTTATTATCATTTTCAACTTATTTATCAAACTATCATTGTTTTAAAAGCGAATTTAATAAATCTGACTTTATTTAGAAAACAGATTGACAAATCCGACTTCATAGGAAAAATACTAAATCCGTCTTTATATAGAAAGCGGACATACCAAATCCGCCTTTATAAGAAAAACAAACTTACCAAGGTGTAAACCTTTATTTGTATAATTGTGTTAATCACCAAAAGCATATTTGGTTATTTATTGAATACGTTTAGTCTCTCTGATTATATATTTTTTGTGAATAAATTACTCATCTTTATTAGTAGTTAAAAATTCACTAATAGATTATATCTAAATTTATTAGTTATAACCCGTGCCTGAAGCCATGATAAAATATAAAATTCGAGAATTCAAAAAATTGATCTCACTATATTAAATTTTTTTAAAATATATTAATTACAAATTAATCAAATATTAAATAATTAATTATATGATAAAAATGAGTGATTTATTTTTTAGGGAGAAAATATATAAAGTCAAGAATTTCGGGTGGTATCCCAGTAAGAAAATTAGATGAAATATTAAAAGTTACTAGTTGAGACAAAAAACGGATTTGGTATATCTGCTTTTTAAACGAAGTCAGATTTGGTATATTAAATTTCCCTATAAAGTCGGATTTGTCAAATCCGTTTTCCCTATAAGGCCGAATTTGGCAAATCTGTTTTTAAAATAGAGATAGTTTGATAAATAAGTTGAAAACAGTAGTAGATTAATAAATAAGTTTGATAAATGGAATAGGTTAGTAATAGATTCCTTTGTATTTGGTCTCTCTCTCCGCTGGAGAAGCTCTGGGTCTGGTTTTGACAGAGTGGATGAAAAGGACAGCGGTCCCTAGAGAGTGATGGTGATCCCCCACCAACCACCAACATGTTTTTGGTTTCTTTAGCTAATCCAGTGATGTCTTTTAGTTATTCTAGACTTTGATTGACAGAGTTTGTGACAGTTGTTTGGTTGTGTTTTACGCATGTTACTTAAAGAGTATAAGACTATCATCGTCCATCACAATTTGTCTGTACAAAAACTTCTCCAGAGCAGGCATGGCAGTGAGGAACAGTCCTCTTGTTAAAAATGCTCGTGCCCAACTGTTTTTCATTTGAATCCGC